ACAGTTTTTTGGTAGTATTAATTCTAGTATCATTTTTTATTAGTACATTCCATACAGAGTGGTCTCCGTTCCCCGTTGGAGCAAATGCGTATGGCATGGGCGGCATGTGAACGGGTGCGAACGGGTGTGCCCTGGCGGCGGCGCCCTCTGGCCCCGTGCGAATAGGCAACCCGTCCGCACGTATGCATGCGGGCGACTGTACGCATTTGCTCCAATAACGGGGCATACGGCGACCAGCCTGTATCAGGTCATGCAATAATAAGCCTCTCGCTCGATGTTTTGGCGAATGTTACCCCCTCCCCCCTCTACACACACATACACACAATGGCAAACCACCCGCCCGGCCGCCGCGCCACCTCCCAGTTCCGTTCGCCCCGTCCGTTTCCATCCCTTCGCGCTGATCCGCTGTAATGGCCGCGCGGCCCTGATTTATTCAATCCCGCGTCACTGTTTATCCGGACCGGATAGAACGGATGGCGCGAGGTGTTTATCATTACGGCCGCCGCATCACGCCCACCTCTATCCCGGCGGCGCCCCTGCCTCGCCCAGCAGCGGACCCGGCGGTGCCTCTCGCTGTTTTATCGCCGCACCGCACCGCGCCACGCCGACCCATTGGCCACCACGCTCCGCCCAATTTGTGCGACGGGCAGGGGGAACAAAAGGGGCGGGCGGGAGGGTTGGAGAAGACCAGTGACAACATCGACAAGCGAAATAACAAAAAGCATACTTTTGCTTCACGCCTTTCTTCCGTGGTTTTCTTTCCTTCGGGCTCATGCCGATTCCTTATTTGCTTCCACTTTTCGCGGACGCAGCTATTCGAAATTAAATTTGAGATAAACGTGGATGAGGTGACTCTGCAAAGGACTCCATACGTCGGATATACCGCTCCGTTGGGCGACGGCCGCGGGCCGCGCCTCACCCTTATCCTCCCTCACCCCCACCCCGTCCTTCTGTTGCGTACCACAGCACTGTGTGGCAATACTGCCAATTTGACCTTATTAAAACGCTCCTGCAGTGCTGTTGTTGGTCTTTTTTTTTTTTTGCGAAATATCAGCTAGATTGGATTGTTGACATTTAAGCCTCGCGAAATGAATTGAAGGGCTCCTAACACTTCAACTCCCAGCCCAGCGCGCCAGGCGCGCTTCCCGCCCTCTCCCGCTCCCCCTCCCTTTTCCACCCCATCCCCGGCGGCCCGCACGACCCTCTCCCCTCGGCCTACTTGGACACACAATAACACGACTCTCCGTTGCAAACCCCTTTTTCGGGTCAATGTGAAGAAAAATTTAATACAAGCAAATCTAACTCATAATGAAATATGACAGACATGTACATCATGGGAAGCACGGTCCAGCCGGACCTCAGCTGGACAGCGCCTATTCCTGTCCTTCCCACCGGGCACGGATCAGGTCCTGGTCCTGGTCTCGAGACTCCTTTGTCCGTCCGATCGGAAAGGCGTATAAATTATGTGTAGAGTAGAGTAGACCATTCCAAGAGGCGCCGCTGGGGTTGGCCGGCGAGTCACTCGCCGGACGTGGACGACCTTTTGGGGAAGTGAGCGACGTTTGCCTCGCGCGGCTCCCGCGTCTACATCAGGAGGCTGCCGACCACGGACCTGCGCGGCATTCGGTCGCGGAGCTGGCGTCCGGACAGCTTGCCGGAAGTCGTTCGCGGGAGGGCGTCTAGGAACTCGACGCCTCCGCGCAGCTGTTTGGTCTCGGGGAGCTTGTCTGCGGGTGGAGCGACAGGACAGTCAGGTTGCGCTGCGCCAAGGGTGGGTGGCCGACCCGACCGCCCTCCCCTGACCTCGGTCAATGCTGCTACACACTCACTCACCTTTCACGAGCTGGATGATCTCCTGCTTGCTGGCCGTCACGGACGGCTCCAGCACCACAAAGGCCATGGGCACCTCGCCGTCGTCCGGATCAGGGCGGCCCAGGACTGCCCCCGCCCCCGCCGCCGCCCAGCTCACTGCATTGCAGTGACGCCCACTCCTAGAAAATATTTTCCCATTGTTCCTCCTAAACCATTTTGCCGTTTATCTGGTACGTACTGTTCAATCAAACACTGGTATAATGCTAGGTGTCGCATAGGCCCTGTTTCTTCTCTTGGGTGGTATGTCCATCCGATTTTTCACAACTCGGACATGTGTAATTAAAAATCTGGCATGGTGTGGAGTCTTAGTTTCAAGGTGGAGTGCTCCGGCCTCAGCCTTAAGGGTGGCGGGGGCGGCGGCCCTGGCCGGGAGCCGTCGCGGTGGTGGTCGACGTGGCCGCCACGTGTCCACCCACGTGGAGGTGCCGCGCGGAGCCGTGCGCGGGCAGCCGGTCTGCAGCTAACGAGGGGGAGAGCAGCGCTAAAAAGCGGAGCGGAGGGGAAGAGGAAGTGGCGACGTGGACCAGAAAATATGACTTGCTGCAGCGGGCAGCGAGGCGTGGGAACAAAGGAGACCCGCGGCGAGAGCCGCGACCGGCGTGTCATCGCTAGAGGAGGATGAGCCGAGCGCTTTGATCGCGCTAAACCAAACAGATAGCACTGCAGAATTTATCGAAGGAAAAAATAAAGAATTAGTCGCCAGAGCTCAGGGATTATTAAAATTTTTTAGCTCTGTCAACTGATCCGTATATTTTCCCCGTGATAATTTGCACAACCAGCCAAAAATGCCAGCCCCGCGATGTTGCTATGGATGGACTCGGCAGTTGTCCGTTCATTTGGAACTTTTGCAAACCCTCCTGCCCAGACCCGCGCCTCTGCCCCAATACCCGCTTGTTATTACACCGGCAAACAGTTATTGTTTTTTCCACCCCATCGGTCCGCAGCCCGCGGCGCCGCCTGTACCCTCTCATACACACTCACTCGCTCCCTCTCTCTCACACACACACGCACACACGGGCGCGCTCCGCTCCTCCGTCACTGTCATCAGCAAAAGCGTCGCGGACAGCAGCAAGAACAGCCTCGGCTGGGCGGCCAGCAGCGGCCCCGCCCGGCCCCGCCACAGTCCAGGGTAATTAGCTGGTCGAGCGCGGGGCGCCGCGGGCCGGGCCGCCTAAACGGGCAAATATTGACCGCGGCAGCAGCGTGACGTGATGTGTGGAAGCGCTGCCCGAGTGGGGCGTGGCGGGACGGGACGGGGCCGGGTGAAGCGGGGCCCCTCGATGGTGTGTTATGGGCGTCGCAGATCCGCAGCAGAGCCAAGAACGAAAACCATTGCGACGATGATGCCGAAATCATCCATGTACATTATACTACCCTCACGAGAACTGTGCTATAAAATTTTCCGCGCCACAGCAATCCCAATGCGACGCTCGTAGAAAAACACATAGCTCTCAATAGAGATCTCACGCGATGACTGCTTGGCATTGCTGCAAAACTAGGAGTCTTATTGATTTCATTAACGGTTCTAATCTCCATATTTTTATTGACAGTTTTTTGGTAGTATTAATTCTAGTATCATTTTTTATTAGTACATTCCATACAGAGTGGTCTCCGTTCCCCGTTGGAGCAAATGCGTATGGCATGGGCGGCATGTGAACGGGTGCGAACGGGTGTGCCCTGGCGGCGGCGCCCTCTGGCCCCGTGCGAATAGGCAACCCGTCCGCACGTATGCATGCGGGCGACTGTACGCATTTGCTCCAATAACGGGGCATACGGCGACCAGCCTGTATCAGGTCATGCAATAATAAGCCTCTCGCTCGATGTTTTGGCGAATGTTACCCCCTCCCCCCTCTACACACACATACACACAATGGCAAACCACCCGCCCGGCCGCCGCGCCACCTCCCAGTTCCGTTCGCCCCGTCCGTTTCCATCCCTTCGCGCTGATCCGCTGTAATGGCCGCGCGGCCCTGATTTATTCAATCCCGCGTCACTGTTTATCCGGACCGGATAGAACGGATGGCGCGAGGTGTTTATCATTACGGCCGCCGCATCACGCCCACCTCTATCCCGGCGGCGCCCCTGCCTCGCCCAGCAGCGGACCCGGCGGTGCCTCTCGCTGTTTTATCGCCGCACCGCACCGCGCCACGCCGACCCATTGGCCACCACGCTCCGCCCAATTTGTGCGACGGGCAGGGGGAACAAAAGGGGCGGGCGGGAGGGTTGGAGAAGACCAGTGACAACATCGACAAGCGAAATAACAAAAAGCATACTTTTGCTTCACGCCTTTCTTCCGTGGTTTTCTTTCCTTCGGGCTCATGCCGATTCCTTATTTGCTTCCACTTTTCGCGGACGCAGCTATTCGAAATTAAATTTGAGATAAACGTGGATGAGGTGACTCTGCAAAGGACTCCATACGTCGGATATACCGCTCCGTTGGGCGACGGCCGCGGGCCGCGCCTCACCCTTATCCTCCCTCACCCCCACCCCGTCCTTCTGTTGCGTACCACAGCACTGTGTGGCAATACTGCCAATTTGACCTTATTAAAACGCTCCTGCAGTGCTGTTGTTGGTCTTTTTTTTTTTTTGCGAAATATCAGCTAGATTGGATTGTTGACATTTAAGCCTCGCGAAATGAATTGAAGGGCTCCTAACACTTCAACTCCCAGCCCAGCGCGCCAGGCGCGCTTCCCGCCCTCTCCCGCTCCCCCTCCCTTTTCCACCCCATCCCCGGCGGCCCGCACGACCCTCTCCCCTCGGCCTACTTGGACACACAATAACACGACTCTCCGTTGCAAACCCCTTTTTCGGGTCAATGTGAAGAAAAATTTAATACAAGCAAATCTAACTCATAATGAAATATGACAGACATGTACATCATGGGAAGCACGGTCCAGCCGGACCTCAGCTGGACAGCGCCTATTCCTGTCCTTCCCACCGGGCACGGATCAGGTCCTGGTCCTGGTCTCGAGACTCCTTTGTCCGTCCGATCGGAAAGGCGTATAAATTATGTGTAGAGTAGAGTAGACCATTCCAAGAGGCGCCGCTGGGGTTGGCCGGCGAGTCACTCGCCGGACGTGGACGACCTTTTGGGGAAGTGAGCGACGTTTGCCTCGCGCGGCTCCCGCGTCTACATCAGGAGGCTGCCGACCACGGACCTGCGCGGCATTCGGTCGCGGAGCTGGCGTCCGGACAGCTTGCCGGAAGTCGTTCGCGGGAGGGCGTCTAGGAACTCGACGCCTCCGCGCAGCTGTTTGGTCTCGGGGAGCTTGTCTGCGGGTGGAGCGACAGGACAGTCAGGTTGCGCTGCGCCAAGGGTGGGTGGCCGACCCGACCGCCCTCCCCTGACCTCGGTCAATGCTGCTACACACTCACTCACCTTTCACGAGCTGGATGATCTCCTGCTTGCTGGCCGTCACGGACGGCTCCAGCACCACAAAGGCCATGGGCACCTCGCCGTCGTCCGGATCAGGGCGGCCCAGGACTGCGACATCGCGGACGCCGGGGTGAGTGCGGATGACGTCCTCGAGCTCCTTGGCGGGGATCTGCAACGGACAACATAATTTTAGAACGAATGAGTGAGTGGTGATGTACGTCAGGTGTAAGTGTAAACCTGGAAGGCTGGACAGGAGGCTCACCGCTTTGCCGGCGCACTGGATGTTCTCGCTCAGTTTCTCCACCAAGTAGAAGTAGCCCTCGTCGTCGTACTTCATCCCGTCACCTGTGCAGAACCAGCCCCGCTCGTCGAAGAGGGCGGCCGTGGCCTCGGGGTCTCCGACGTACCCCTTCAGCGACGTGCTGCCCTTGGAGCGCAGCTCACCGCACTCGCCCGCCTCCAGGTCCTCCTCCGAGATGGAGTCCACCACCTTGAGTCGGATGCCGGGGCAGACCTTGCCGACGGAGCCGGGTTTGGCGTCCCGGTTGAAGAGCAGCATGCCCGCCTCGGGCACGCAGTACACGGCCTGCAGGCGCACGGCTAGGGCCTGCTGCGTGCGCACGTGCGTGTCGGCGGGCATCGCGTCGCCGTCCAACAACACGGCCGTCAGCGTCTTGAGGTTGAACTTGGGCAGCGAGGCGTGGTCGGCCACGGCGCGCACGGGTCCTGGCTGCGCTAGCCAGTGCGACACGGCGTTCTTCTCCAGCGCCGCGAGGATGCTGAGCGGCTCCTGGTGGGCCAGTGGAACGTCGTGTCAAGCTAGGGTATAGGGATCGCTCCTGTAAGCGCCACCGCCCGGCCAGCTCACCTGGTCGTTAAGGGTGACCACCGTGTGCCCTGCCCAGCAGCAGCGCAGCAGCGAGAAGATCCCCGCGAGGCAGGACAGCGGCCGCGAGGACATGAACACGACGCCAGGCGTGTCCGGCAGCGGCTCGCGGAACTGGTCCAGCAGCACGAAGGCGCGCTTGTTGGACATCATGGCGTAGTGCGCCCGGCCGGCCGCGCCCAGCCCGGCCAGAATGAAGGGCACGTGGTCGTCGAGGCGCGCGATCACCGGCGGGGTGAAGAGGTCCGCGGTGGCGGTGGGCACGGCGCGCAGCAGGTCCTCGTAGGCCACGTCGCCCGCGCGGACCAGCTTGGCCGGCACGTCGTCCTGGTTTAGCACGATGACGGGCACCTGCCTCGGCGCGCCCTGCAGCGCGTCGTGGACCTTGGCGAGCGTGCGCGGCTCGGCGAAGACCGCCCTGGGCTTGCACACCTGTAGCTGAGCCTTCAGGTCACCTGCAACCCGGACAGGTGTATTACTCGGCATGAAAACAACTCCCTTCGCCCTGTGTGGGCGATACCCCGTGCCGCCGCGCCAGCGCTTGGAGTATGGCCTGTAGTGATCTGCACAGCAGCAACCCGGCTCCCGACTCCGGCTTACTTGTTGCGTTCCGGATGAACCGGGGCGAACTTACTCGGCGAAGCCTCGGGGTCGGTGGGCATCACGGTGAGCCCGGCCCAGACCGCGCCCAGCACGGCGGGGTAGAGGTCCGCGACGGCGGTGCTGCACACGGCCACCACATGTCCGGGACTCAGCTTCTTGGCGCGCAGCCCCTCCGCGATGCGCACGCTGTCCTCCAGCAGCGCGTGGAAGGACGACGTCGACCCGGTGCCCGCATCGACCTGCGGGACAAAAGTCGTGAGTTCGTCGGCACCACAGTGTCGTTGTCGTTACTTCCTCCCCCCTCTCCCACACTCCCACACACCCCTTTTGCACTTGTTGTTCGGCGGTCATAGCCCCCTGTCCTTGACCTTCCCGCAGGTCACGCGAAGAGAGTCCTGCGGGGCGAGCAGGACACGTAATCACGTAATCACCAAATCCGTGCAACATATCCATACCGGCCCGGGCCTGATGTCCTTCCGATAAGAACCGAAAAGGCAGGAGAAGGTTATCGCTCACGTGCGGGCCATTGGGCGCCTATCCCAACAAAAAATTAAGGGAGATGCATATGACATGAAGCTTATC